AAAAAAAAAAAAAAAAAAAAATTGTAGTATAGGAAGAATGGCTAAAAAGCACTAAGATGTTTATCCTGGAAAAGTGGAGATATGGAACTTGGTAGAAGTTGAGTGTGGCATCTGCCCAGAGAAGGCTCAGACATGTCTGGAACAATTTTTTTAAATGTCAAACAAAATTAATTTCTTGGGCAGTAACATTATTTCTACCCAGGATCTAATGAAGTAAAGGCACCTGGGACGCTGGACTCAGTGAAGGGTTTATACTCTGCTTCCTTCACTGAGACAGCTTTGCTATGAAAAAATATCAGCTCAATGGAACAATGTCCTGAGTGACATCACTGACCCATGTTTTTGTGGAAAGTTCCTTATCTAGCTCCTAACCTGTAATGTTTGCAGACTGATAGTGAATTCATCGGTCATACTAATTTAGATAACTTTGAAGAGCACTTTCAAATCTGTACTTTGCTTCTGCATTTTCCGCTCATTAGTAGGGGTGGGAGAAAGGGAGAGTGTGTATGTCTTTGTAAGTGTATATGTTGTAGCCCATATTAAATGCAGTTCTACAGGAAAAGCCAAAAGAACCCCTTGCAGGGGCCATTTTAGTCCATCAGCATCAACTATGGAAAAGCCATCAGTGCTTCTAGAAATGGCCCAGCTGACACACAACAAAGAAGGCTCTACCGGCCAGGCATAGTCTTGCATGCTGTCCGGGGACCCACGAGACTTCCCATTAGTTCTGCAACCCTCGGGTGCCCAGAACTGAGAAGACTCCCTGAGCTTCTGTGGGGGTAGGTGCACACACCACCAGCCCTCTTCTGGTCCTAACTGCTGGGTGTAGCCCCAGGCTTCAGCACCGCTGAGGCTCAGGCAACACTCAGCTCGATCTGAAGGCAATGGCCAGCCATGGAGGTCAGGTGAGGAGGCCTGAGAATGAGGCATGGGGCCCAGGAGAGGCAATGGAGGAGACCAAAGTCAACTGTTTGTACATCTACCAAGGCCTGATCAAGGCAATACTGACTTTCTGGGAAAGAGAAACTGTAAAGGGTTTGAAAGCAACCTAGGAGAGTATAATGTGTCCAATCAGATTAGCCTGTCAATGAGCTAACTTCAAAGAGCGCCCTGGGGTTGCTGCCAGGAGCCGCCATAGTATGCTGACTCACAGGGCTGTATGGGTGGACAGGCTTCACCAGCAATGCACAGGAATAGCTTATTAGCCTAGTAAATCCCACAGTCATGGACTCGCTGCATTCTAGACATCAAGCAAGTATCCTGCTGTCATATTTATTACCAGTCAGAATATGCAAGCAATAGACTGACCATGCAGCTGATTTTTGGAATGTCAGAAAAAGAACGTCAAATCATATTCTTTGGGGGACTCATGCTCAAAACCACATGCCATACCCAGGAAACTCAGTATGAACTAGATTAGGGGTCAGCACACATTTTCTGTAAAGAGCTATACAGTAAATATTTTAGGCTTTGAAGACCATGGGTTCTCTGCGGCAACCAACTCAACTCTTGCATTGCTGTAGAGGCAGCCATAGACAATACATTAACAAGTGGGTAAGATTAGTTTCCAACAAAACATGATTTACAAGAGCAGGCTGTAGACAAGATTTAGCTCAGAGCTGTAGCTTGCCAACCCCTGAACTAGAACTGTAAACACTGGTTTCTACATGCAAATGCAGCAAAGAGATTACATTTCTGGCACTAACTCCAACTGAAGCCCATCACAATGTCTGATAAAAATTCTAAAACTGCACCCAGAAAGTCCAAATGTGTACCTCCCTACCTCAGGAAGCCCAATGCACTCATCTAGAAAGGCTTTAGAATGTAAGAGTAAAACAAATACATGTGGTAGGTCTGCCTCAGGCCACAATTTCCTCAGCCAAACTGGTCCCTCATCAAAACTGCAAAAAGTGTTATATGCCTCACAATGAAGGAGGTCCTGGAATACTTTCCCATCTCTGGGACCATAAGGCAATCTTTGGTAATTTAGCTACAAAACACTACCTGAGTATTAATTAAAAGGGCATCGGCAGGAGCCTTGAACGGAAACCACGTACCTGGGCTGGACTCTTCAGGAGGGGGACTGCAATCTGCACAGAAATGGAGGGCGACATGGATGATTAAGCACACAGTTCAAACCAAGCAACTCAGTCTCAGAGCAGCTGCATCAGCAGCTTGCAGTAAGGTGGCTAACAAACAGAGAAGAGGTCTGGGTGCCTGGCTGCCTCTTCCCCAAGAAGCCTCATGAAAGTACTCCGGCTGCTCCGAGGCAACCAAACCCTCTCAGTGATAAACAATGATCGATTCCCCAGCTTAAACATTCATGTTGCTGATACTTCAACATAAAATGCTCTTCGGGATGTGCGATATAGCTTATTACAATGTGATAAATGCCACAGAAAAAAGCACCCACATAAATCACATTGTAGTGGCAGAGCCTCACTTTGACTTGCAGCATCTGGAAGCAAACTTGTAAGGAGAGAGACTGACCAGTACATGGAGTGTTCCCCAGTCAGGCCCACCGCTCTCATTTACTGGGGAAGCCTGGGCTCTGCATCAACTGCTGAGATCCAAAATGTTAAGATCCAGGAATGAAACCAGTATACCAAAAAATAAATCTATGCTAATTTTCCAAATTTAAATCAAATGTTAGGTTTTGTGATTTAGGGGTAGTCTCCAATTAGAATGTCCCTTCAGGTCCTCAAAGAATACCAATTTTGATTCCATTTCACCTATACTAAGTCACACTGGGATGTGCTTATTTCAATTTTCTATTCCCTTAAAAACTAAAATTTCAAGTTAACTGGGTGCAACATCTAACAGAAAACAAGTTTGATAAAAGAATCATGGAAGAACCCGTTTATGTTACTTTATGTCTGAGCTTTTCAGTTCAAAGAATGTCTTCAGGATGTGGAGATGAGGTGGTCTCAGATCCCCAAGAACAGCTGGAACCAGCTTTATGGGGATTTTACAACCTAGGTTGTAAAGAAGGGGCAAAGGATCCTTCCTCTTTAATTGTTTTTGGAAGTGACTTTTCAAATTGGCAAAGGGGAAAGAGAATACAAAGTCATCTGTAAGTTCAAGAGTTCGACCTCTTCATTAGAACCCAGATACCCTAGCTGGGTACAGTGGCTCACACCTGTAATCCCAGCACTTTGGGAGGCTGAGGCAAGTGGATCATCTGAGGTCGGGAGTTTGAGACCAGCCTGACCAACATAGAGCAACCTGATCTCTACTAAAAAATACAAAATTAGCCGGGTATGCTGGCACATGACTGTAATCCCAGCTACTTGGGAGGCTGAAGCAGGAGAATCACTTGAACCTGGGAGGTGGAGGTTGCGGTGAGCTGAGGTCGTGCCACTGTACTCCAGCATGGGCAACACAAGCGAAACTCCATCTCAAAACAAAACAAACAAACAAAAAGAACCCAGATACCTGAGACCATCTTGCTAACAAAGACAGAAACCCACAGTAGTGTTGAGTGATTCAGAATCATGGCACTTACATAATGGTCTGCTAATCAGGTTATGCAAGGCCTTGAAAAAATACAGATTTTTGCCTCCCCACAACTCCTCTTCTAGGATTCTGAGTCTGTGAAAGAGGAGGAAGGTCTAGGAGCCTGTTTTATGAGCTTCTGTGGTTATCCCAAACAGTTGGTTTGGGACCATTCCTGTGAAGGCATCAGCAATTAAACCCAATTTGCTAAATTCATCTTTTAAGCCAAGGGGAGAAAGAGCGGGTCTTCTCTGGTACTCTTAGAATAATGGCTTGTAACTTGTCTTAGGTCACGGAGTTGAGGATAGATAACCACTCTGGACTTAAGGGGTACAAGAACCTGGGGTGTACCCACAGACCCCAGACTAAAAAAAACTTGGTCTGAGTGTCTCTGGGTATGAGGAGAGCAACAGTCTGTACATGAAGAAGGGGGTAGAAGCCACCAAATCCTGGTGGGGCAATGGCGGTGCGCCATGGCAGGCGGGGGTGGAGGGGTGCGGGAGACTTTTGGAGAGATGAGAAAGAGGGAAGTCTGAGAAGCCTCTGTGGTTTTGGCTGGCAGGGACTTGTCAGTGAGTCCCCAACCAAGCTCTGGCCCTGGGTGACCCTCACCTGCCAGACAGGGCTCTCTGATCAGGGCTGGGCAGCTCTGAGGCAGGGTAGATCCTTGGTGAAAAATAAAACCAAGGACCTAGGACAGGGTAGAGAACTGGAATGAAAAGTGATGATGCCTTTTGGAGCAGTACAGAGTTATTCTTATATAATAAATATGTTGGTGTGAACATACTTGCTCATTAAGCCAAAACAATGGCTCCAGTAACTTGGAATGGTATAAAAAGTCATGACATACCCAAGGCATGGCACTGCGGACAAGACTCACCAAAAGAAACAGCTCACAGTCTGGTTCTTTCTGATCCTCCTGCTTAACTGAGGACTGAACAGCTTCCTGGCTATGCTAAAGATGTTTAAATTAAGGACTGTCCACAGATAATTTGGTGGCATATGGTTTCATGTTTCTCTGAGTACTGATCAGCAGAGTTAGACTCTCTCAAATGTAAGTTTCACATTCTCATTATTACAACAGCTGATTTTTATGGTACACACACAAGTCAAACCCTAAATAGCATACATAAATGCTCATTTAAATAACTTTAAAACTGAATAAAAATGTATCTATATTTAAACAATACAGGATGTGCCTAGAAAAAAATATGACACTTAAGTTAGGGATATAATCCCATCTGATGAAATAAACTAGCTCTCACATTTAAAACAGCCAATAAATTACTCTTTTCATATCTGCAGAAAAATGCAAAATCACAAACAAGATAATAAAGCAAAAAGACAAATAACGAACTTTCTGAAAATTTTAAAAAGGAACATGATTTACATAAAAAAGAGAACAAGAATAGAGACAAAACAGTTCCATGAACCAATCACAGGTGTGGGGAAGTGAAACTATAATCCCTCATAGATGGAGAGATGGGTGACGTGACAACTGTCGAGACAGAGGCTTAAGTGAGACAGTGCCCTGGAAACAGACTGCAGGCAGAGTAAAGAGGCGAAGGGCATCTTATAACCTGATGGGGGATTTGCCAAGAGGCTCTGACCAAGAAGCACGCTTACATCTTGAATGGAAGTTCCCCAATTCAGAATTTAAAAGCCCTCATCACATGACGCCTAATCCGAGCACATCTGGGCCTTACCCACTATGGCTTAAAACTCCCACAGGAGAACAAAAAGGAGGCAGAAACTAGGTCTGCGGGCAAGTCTCATCTGCCTAGCCTGTAACTCTCCAGCTCTTACGGGAAAAGGCGGGAGCACCTTAGTTGCAGGGACCAAGGACCCGCATATTAGAAAGCACCCATTTCCCAGCTTTGAGGCCATCTTTCTGACAGTGTCCTGGTATGCTGTGTCTCTGCAGACATGAGACTGTTCAGAAGTGTGCTGCTTCATGCCAATGTCCTACCCTGAAGGGTCCTGCCAAACTACCCTGACTCAGCCCACCAGAAGCCCAGGAACAGGGTCCCACTCTCTGACTGTGTTACCAAGTCCCAAGGCAACATTCCTCTGCTGGATAAGAGTGCTCAGCCAATGCCAACCAGCTTTTAGACATGTCCACTGGATGAGAGCCAATATCTCTCATCCAGCTGTGTCCCTGCACAATTCCCCTTTCCCTTTCATTCTATCAATTCCTAATGCCATAGACAATCACATCAGAAAGGCATCTGCAACCTGGCCTCCTTCAGGTTCTCGGATTGCTTTACAAACCTGAAAGGCCCAGGAGCCCAACCCTTACAGCCATGGTAATGTGTCCCAGGAGCACCCTGAGATTCTGACTGGCAGAGATACAGAATCACACACAGGCTCCAGTTACATGGAAAGTCAACCACAGAGTCTACTCTCACTGCCCAATGCTCCAGGCACTGGGATGCCCCTGCTCCACCTGGCAGCCCTCCCTGCAGTCTGCATGGGAGAGGAGGGCATGGAGTCAGAGACACAGACAAATGGAAGCAGCACAGAGTGAAGTGAAGGCAGCGTGGAGGAAGCATGGATGCATACGCACGTGTGGTCAGGTGAGGATGGCATGCAGCGGAGGGCATGGTGGAGGGGCATGACGAGGAGGGGACATCACAGAAGGGGTCTTCTGGTCTGATCCAGTAGGCGTGGTTGTCCCGGTTACCTTTCTTGCTAGTACAGCTTCCTGCACAGGGGAAGACATCCTCACAGCCCTCGCCATGCAGCCGCTCCTTCTGCAACAGCTTGTCCACACGCTGAATGATGCACTCCAGGCTCTTGTCCACATTCAGCCACACTTTCTCCTTCCAAATCAAAGAGGCTTGTGTGGGTCAGCTTTCCCAAACAGAAACACAAACAGAACACAAACAAATCGCCCTCCATGGATCCGCTGCCCTAGGCTTCCACACTTACTAAAATATCTCAAAGTTTAGAAATATAAAGATGATTCTTAATTCCCCATTAAAGTTTTATTTGCTTTTCAATGAGGAATCAATGTCCTGCGGCCACTGTTTTTAGAGTTTGGGATCTGTTTGCTAGTGACTCTTCTGGAGGCTAGGTGTGGCTCCAGCACTGCCTGAAGGGCACTGCAGACCTCCTACAACTATCACACGCAGACAGGATGGAGGCCTCCCCTTTGATGGAAGGGAATGGAAATTTGGGATAGGAGAGGTGGGGAGGAGGTGAGGGGCGTCTGGGAATGATTTGCAGAAACACACACAGCCTATAGGAAGGCACTTTGCTGCTGATTAATAGTTCAGTACTTGCAGGACAATGCCTGTAAGCAGTAGTCCCAATAAATGGCAAAAACAAGTTGTACAATGTGTCACTCCCTCAAGAAACACAGAACCTCTCCCAGTGCCAATTCTGTGAGGCACAATAATGTGAGGTAATGTCAGGGCAAGCAGCTTCAAAATCCACACCCACTTGCCCCAGCACCGAGCTCCCACATCCCCAAATACACATAGCCCTGGAAAATCTAACAGCACACAGAGCACTGAGGAAGCAAGAGAGGGCTGACTGCTCTCAAGCACTCCAAGGCCACAGAAGGCACAGGCAGCAGGGGAAGGAGAGATCTCCAACAGGGCAAAGGCTCAGAAGGAAAACCCACTTCTCTTTCTCTCCATCCAGGTCTGAGACTGGCCCTGCCTCCAGCACAGACCTGCCCCAATCTGGACACAAGGGTTTGAAAATAGTCTCCCTCCCTGCATCATGAGCCAAGGAGCCATCCAGGAAGGAAACCTGGGGTTTGTTCACAGCAGCCAAATCTTGAGGCACCTTGAAGAGGCAGAGACTGGCAACAGTCTTTGTGGTTTCCAACCCACGTCCAGCAGTGGGATGACAGCCACAGCAGCAGACTCACCCACTCCTCCTCGTGCCAGTCCACCTGCAGGGAAGATCGGCTGTTTCTCCCCGTCCACCGGGCCATGAGGGTGTCCTGGTCATTTCTAAGCATCACCTGCTCCTCCTCAGTCGAGGTGGGGGAGGCCTTGGAGGCAATGTAGTCAGGCCGCGCGGCATTCAGCCCATGGATGGAGTTGGCCAGCAGCTTGCAGTCGCAGACCGTGACCAGCTGCCGTGTCTGCAGGTGTATGTAAACCAAGGCTGCTGAGTCCAGGCCAGGGGCTGGGGAGGCCCCTGCCTTATCTCAGAAATGGAGAATGGGCCTAAGGCCCAGCAATGCATCCCTCTGCCTTTCTCCATAGGGTAAAGCAACTGAAGGGCTGCATCCCTCAGGATGTCTAAATACAAAGACTACCATGTGGCCCGCTTGGGCTGAATCTTAGCAAGAATTTCCTACCAAGGAAGAGGACAGGAGGCTGAGAAACCTCTGATATCCTCTGATCCCTGCCTGCCTCTGACCTGTGATTGCTAGGGAAGGGGCCTACAGAGACAGCTCACTGCCCCAGCTTTGACAGACTTCCTGGCCTGTCCTCCACCTTCCAGGGTGCAAGTGTCCAGGGTTTAGGCCTTACTTTGGTTCAACTGTGGAAGTCTTATCTTTTGCTCCTCAGGATCTAATAGCTCAAGTTCTGGGCTCTGGGTAGCTGGATTCGTGGCACATGTTTGGTTTTGGAGAATTCTGCATGCAACACAGGATCTGTGGTTCATAATGTTACTGCTGACAACTACATCTTTCCTTTTCAGTAGATCTAATCTCCACCTCTCACTCTTTATGCTCTCTGTCCACCAGGCCATGAAGGTGTCCTGATCATTTATGCTGTGTGAACATTTTATGTTGTATGAACACATGTGAAGGATATAACATATTCTGATCAAGAACAGCAGCTCAACAGCAAAGTGTCAGTGAGGAGGTGTAGTTGGAATCTGTGTATGTGTGTGTGTGTGTGTGTGTGTGTGAGAATGTGTTTGTGCACTGAGAGGGAGACTGAGTAATGGGAAAAAGCATTATCCATCAAAAGGATCTGATACAGCCACTTCCTCAGTATGAATTAATACTTATATTTTTTAAAATCAGGATCAAGTTATGGCTAAGTAGAAGCTGGTTTACTGACTACACATAAGAAAGTAAAATTATATTGTTCTTATCTCATGTCTGTATGATAGCTCAGTTTCTGTTTTCAAATTCAACTACAATAGAACTGTGGCAAAAAAAAAAAAAAAAAAAAAAAAAAAAAAAAAAAAAAAAAAAAAAAAAAAAAAAAGTGCTGGTGAGGCTATTACTGAGAAAGCTGTGGAACTGTATCAGCCCCAACAAAATGAGCCCCATGGACTTGCTGAAGGGCACATGTACCTGAAGCTGCACCTAAGAGTCATGAACCCTGGGCTCTGCCCTTGGCCTGTCCAGCTCTGTGGACAAATCATGAAACCTCCCTGGGCCTTTGTGGGAAATGGATGTAAGGTAGACCTTCAAAGTCATCCCAATGTCACTCTCTTTGTGGACCACCTTAGATATACCTGGGCTGCCTAGTGGCTTCCAGAAACTCAAGGAAACTCCGCAGTCCACATGCAACAGGGCACCCCTCCTACCTTGTCTGCCAAGATGGCAAGTGTCCTCTCAAGGCCAGTGGCAGACCTGTCCTTGGCTGCCCTTGAGAGCCGCTCTGCGTAGTAACTAACTTGGGTTTTCAGGGTGTTGATCTGGGCAATGATCTCCTTGGCTCTGACGACATCCTGTGGTATGTAGATTATGGACTGGCAGCCAGAAGATGTACTGAAAAGTAAGAACAGATTCTAAGGGATTCTCCGGAATCTGAAAAGGACGAGAGCATCATCCCAACCCCAGCCACAATTAACCCTAAGATGAAGTGTTCTATGACTCAGGGATGTTCTCCTAGGTTACTCTAGTTGTTGATAAGCAAAGTATATCTTACGAGATTCTTTCTGGCTATGTGGCAGAAGCTTGAAATATTAAACTATGACTCAGTCTTTCAGCTGTATTTGCACGTACCTGTATTTTTACTTGTGTATTTAAATGTGTGACAGGTATTGAACAATCATATCTCATAATCACCCAAATGATCGTAAGCTTTCACCTCAGAACCTCATGTATTAACTTATAAGCAGTACTTAAGTGGAGACATGGAGGCCCTTTACAGAAGAGGTCGGGTTATCACAGTGTAGCAGAGACTGCAGTGGGTGTTGGCCTTTGTCCCCAAACAACCAAAACCTATTTTTTCATTTGGTCAATCAGGAATTCAAGCTCCTTGTAAACACACCCATCTTTGTTCTTCCTCTCACTTCTGACCCCAGTAGTCCCTAGAAAATTGGGTTTCCTTTCCCTTTCCTTCGCTCTAGGACTTCCCTACTTTGAAAAATAATCATCAAATGAAGAGAAAGTGGAGAATGTGGCAATCCAGAGGTGAAGCCAGACTCCTCAGTGGCTTTGAAACTTTCGCTTTCCCTCCTTCCCACCTCTTCACCACCAAGCAGCGTGTGTGTCTAGGGATCTGATGCCAAGCCTACAGCCCAGCCCCTCCCAGAACAATCAAGAGGCACTGAAGGACCAACTTCAAGTCTCCCTGCTGTGGGGGCTGACCAGCGTGTTGGGTCCAACTAAATAGTGATGATAAATTGCATGTCTCTTAGCCAGGATCCCAATCAATTCAATATTATAAAATTATTTTTCAGACCATGAGGAAGTTGAAGAAAGCAGGAAGAAGTGCAAGCCACCAATGCAGAGGTCTCCTCCTAAAATTTGAAACTGTGGGCTCTGGCTGGAATGGGTGTCCCTTCTCTCATGGGATGAGGGGTCCTGACTGGTCTCTAAAGGGCTGCCCTTTGAATTCTGGGGAAGAGCAAGAAAGAGGAGGAGTGAGGGCACCTCTCACCACACCCTCCATCACTTCCCCCGGAGATGAGGGTCACCTTGGTCAGGGCTGAAAACCTTCCCCACTGGCCCCTCTCCAGGGAAGTCCCAAAGTGTGACATCAAGAAACCACTATTGCCCCTTCCCTTGCTGGATTATGGGGCAAACATGCAAAAACCGAAAACCAAAGCACCCCAGAAAGAAACACCACCACAACAGGCTCACACGCCACAATAAAAAACAATGGATGTACCAGAAGCCCATGCAGCAGACCGCAATCAAGCCCGCGGGCACAACAGGAGTCATTCCACAGCACGATATACACACGACTACTTTCCAATCTGCAATCACTCTTCCAAATGAATAGCTGCCTCCTAAGATCATTTCGTCTTAAAAATACCATCTCAAAATAGGATTTAAAAAAATCAATTCGGCCAAGCATGGTGGCCTATAATCCCAGCACTTTGGTAGGCCAAGGTGGAAGGACTGTTTGAGCCCAGGAGTTCAAGACTAGCCTGGGCAACATAGTGAGACCCCATCTTTACAAAAAATGTAAAAATTAGCCAGGCATGGTAACTTGTACTTGTGGTTCCAGCTACTTAGGAGTCTGAGGCAGGATGGTCAACTGAGCCCAGGAGTTTGAGGCTACAGTGAGTTATGATGGTGCCAATGTACTCCAGCCTGGGTGACAGAGCAAGACCCAGGCTCCAAAAAAAGTGGGGAGGGGGAGGAATTTTCCCAGGTCCCCAATATTTAGAGAACATATGTAAAATGTGCTGTATGTAGATTTACTACTGTTTACAAAGGTGACTGTGTATTCTTCAACAAATATATACCCTCTGCCCAGGCCAAGAGAAAAGCACCACCCTATACTTGCCCTGTGTTCTCATAAGTCATGTTTAATGATGGTACCTGGGACTCATGCATGGGACATACATGGCAGGGGCAACAGAAGGCAAATTTCAAAGAGGTGTTGTTTAAGATGATGAGGAAAATACAAGTATTTGTGCTCAACTACCTAGTTTTAAAAATCAGGAGGCCATATGAAGGCGGTAGGATGGAGGTGTAGACATGAAGCCCAGGGCAGCCCCAAAAGGCAATGTCCTAGGTATGGCCCTTGGACTTTGCATTAGGCCCCTACCCCAGACCTGGACCTACCCAGAGCTGGAGTTATGGGCTAAACTGAAGATGCCACAAGTGCATAAGGTCTTGTAGCACTGGCCAGGAACCACTGGTAACTATGGAGCAACAGCCACTCTGAATATTAGAAGAGCAGGATCACCTCTGCAGAGGCTGAGCTCCCTGGAGCTGGGTTCTGTAAAGGCAGGAGGATTGGGAGGCTGCGTCCTCTCCGCCTGGGATTTAGTCTCTCACAGTCTCCAGGCAGGGATACTCCTTCTGCTTATAACCCTCCCCACTCCATTTCCTCCCCGCTTCAGGGACAGTCTTGTATATGGGGAGCAGGGAGCAGAGGGGGAAGGGGTAACCAGGCCCAGATTGGGCTATGGAGAGTCCTCAGAGGGAACTCAGGAACTAAGAAAGTTCCCCAGGAACAAAGGTCAACCCGAAACACCTGGGTTGGGATTTACCAAGGAGCAGGCCTTGGGGGCAGCTGGGCCTTTGGCTCTCCCCTTTCATTCCCCTTCTTCTGCACCCCTAGACTCAACCCCCAAGTACTTTATTTGTCTCGTTATGGGAAAGATCAGGCCTTGAAAGAGGCCCCAGTAGAGAAAAGTCAGGGAGGGGAGGCTGAGAGGCCACTTCCACAGAAGTAGCATGGGTCTCCTCCATTAGAGAGGCAGGTGCAGCAGCAGCAACCATCCCTAGATGCCCTCCTCCCTCCCTTGTACCTAAAGTACCCCCAGGGAAAAGGACCCCCAGGGGGAATCTGAGATGCCTCAGCCCCATGGGTCTCAGGCTCTGAGGCAGCAGCATTTCTTGAGGGGCTAAAGGTGCCTCTGAATAAAGCACCACTGTAGAGTCCATGTTATGGGCCTGGGGCAGCAGTAACGAAGCCCAGGCAGCAGACACCGAGGTTTCTAACTGCCATCTAATTATCTGGTGGAAAAAGTCACTCAGTTGTATTAAATCTTGGTTTGCACCCACCCTGAGGGTTAAAACTGACCCCAGTAACAGTGTTATTAAAATCTGCATAAATTAATGAGTATCATGAAGATGTAGGCTGGCTTCATTCATACTAGAGGTAATAGTGAAGTGAAAACTGGAAAGCCACAAGGATTCCTATATAAGAAGACAGAAAGGAGTTCCCAGCTGCACCCAGAGGCTGATGTGAGAACCCAGCACCAGTGGCTTCCTGGGTCAGGCCCTTCCTCTTCCTGAGAGAAGGAGAACTAGGTCCTTTCTCAGAGTGAGCATAGCAACACCCAGCTGCCAAGTTTTAAAGGTAAAACGGCAGACTGGAGATTGGCTATTCATTATTAAAGAACATTGCAGTTGGAAGAGAGAACTGTCTACGAGGTGTGTAACTAGGAACCATGGCAGCACCATGGGGGAAGCCAGCACGAGGCGGGGTGGGGATGGCACAAGCTTTCTCTGCATGAGGGTGAGACCCAAACAGACACTCTCTCCACAGACAGAAAACTCACCAACACTCCTCAAAACTGCTAAAGAAAAGATCCAAAATGAAATATTAGCAGTTTGTTAGCAAATACCAAATGCAAAAACAAAAAATTAAAAAGCCAAGTTACTTTTGTCAAAAGACTTAACATTATTTGTTGAGGTCCCAACTACATGGATGACTACAATTATGAGCCCAATGTGCTTATTCCTTAGAGCAGCGTCGCCGCCTGTACTCAAGCCCCAGGGAGACATCCCGCCTCGACATCCCGCCTCGGGCCAAGTTACCTCTTCATTTAAAGGAACGTTCAAATCATGAAAACTGTATCTATAAGTGGCTTGATGGCATTAGTAGGAAATCAAATAGAAACTTACATATTTGAAAAATACTAAAGAGGTATTAAGAAATAAATTCTAAATTTAACATGCAGAGTTAACAGGAATCAAAACTCCATGCCTCCTGGGAAAAAGACATCCAGGAGGCCCCCTTCTTGACTGCCCACACAGAGTGACTGTGTGTCCTCCTTCAGGGCCCCAAGCCACGTCAAGCTGCACGCTCACACTCTCCACAGGACAACATGCAATGGAGCAACAGACACGCTTTCTGGCTGGCTGTGCAGAGCTGCGGTGGGCACAGGAAGCTGCGTCTTCTTCCTATTTCCCAAAGGGACACTGGAGTCAGCGAATCCTAAGGCAGGTCTGGTTACCTGGTTTGTCTGCTTACAGAAGTGCCCTTGGGAATGAATCAGGCTCAAGTAGGTTGTCTGGGGGCCTGAATTCCCCTTCCCTGTTTATCCTCCCATCTCCAGGACTGACTAGGCTCTGGGCTAGCCCCAAGTAGCCTGTGCACATATCTGAATGGTGACTTCTCACAGGGCATGCTCTTCTGTTCCCTGTTCAGCCATCCAGCCTTGCCCATAATCAGTGATGCCCCTAGCTGCCTCCCTGACCCCCTCAGCCACTGATCTGACCTTTCGCCTCCTTCCTGCTCCAGTCCAGAGTCAGTTTTCTCAAATCACGTCCTGACTCCCAGCCACAGCAGCATAGTCAGGTGCCGACCACCAGTTCCATGGCATGAACCAGAGCTCTTGGCCTGACCATCCACAGGATTCTCATGATGCTCCCTGGGCCTTTGCTCACCTTCCCTCAAGCTGCTCCATGCTTGCTTGCTGAGTCTGACCCTCCCCTCCCCAGCCCACATGCTGCAAAGGCTGTTGAGGGTTGCCTCTACTTGTTCCTTCCCACCTGAAACATCACTCTGCAGTCCCACCTCTTCTCCTGGCCCTTCTGATGAACTGCCTGCTCTTAACTCATTCCATCCTGTCAAAGCCCTGCTCTGGCACTGTCTTCCTCTCATTCACCTTACCTCACCCACTTCTGTCTTTCCTATAAGCCCAAACACATGCTAAGTCATAATTATTCTCCCTAAACCAGAGACCTCATGCTACTTCCTCTATTTTGCAGTCACAGTCCAAGGACCTTATTGGTCATCTAGACTCATCATCCCCACTTCCCGAGCCAATGAAATCTTCACAGGTGATGCTCTGGAAGATCATCAATGCCTCCTGCACATCTAACAAAACAGCTTGGGTTTATTTCTGGCTCTCTCCCTCCTACCCCTGGGGGCTAGGTGGATGCCTTGCTCCATGTACCCCAGCATCCTCGGCACGCTTGTTTCGGGCTTGCTGATTTGTCTACTCCCAAGCAAGACCTAAGCCCTGTTTCAGGCTTGCTGACTTGTCTACTCCCAAGCAAGGCCCTAAGCCGCTGGAAACAGGCCTCTAGATCTGCTGGGCGCTGTAGCCCTGGTCACAGAGCAGGCTGGCGGCAAGTCTAGCCCTCTGACTTAGCTCTCCTCCCCTGGCACCGTGCACCTGGCCACATTTCACCACATGCACTGCTTCTGCCATGTCTTTGTATGAAACGACCTTCACTACTCTCACTACCTGGAAATTTCCTGCTCAGGACAGTAGCTCTGTACAGCCACCTGAATCTTTTAAAAACTAGGAATGTTTATCAATGCTTCTTCTAGGAAACAATGTGCTCCAGGCTTGATGCTTCAACTGACTGGCCAGGGACTCTAAAGGACACTGAGCCAGCAGAGTCCACACAGGGTGGCTGCCTGGAGCACCACTTCTGAGGTGGATCACAACCCACTTCTCATTTTGCAGGACAGGACCATTGATCCAGTGCCCTCATCATCCACCCTCAGTCACACACGCACAGAGCAGCACAGGCTGCATAAGGCAGCTCCTTCTGCCACGCAAAAGCAGGTCAGATGGCTGGATGTTTTAGCAGTCTTATTTTGATTTATTTTAAACTGAGAAAAGAAGCATCAGACAGCTGTACAAGGACCACGAACCCTCTCTGGCTACTTACTGTTTCTTGGTCTCTTCAAATTTGTGCAGCTTTTTGCGGAGACCTCCTGACTTAAAACCTTGGCAGTGTGCTGCTGGCGCCCCGATGGTGACGATGTCGTAGTTCTGATCTGAATGACAGAAAGCTCTCCTCCATTACTCTGGGCTCAGGCCTGTGGACGAGCCAGCTACAGGGATATGCACACAAGTCTGGAGTCCTGGCCCTCCAGCCCACTGCCGTACAGCCTGTGGTTCCCCTGATCCCACAGCCCAGGCTGCCCAAGGGTCTGCTGGAGCCCAGTGCCATCGCCTCAGCAAAAAGGGGTTCAAAACGTTTCAAGTGGAGCCACATGGGCTGCAGGAAGCCACCCAGCAACTCCTGTTTGCATCCTGCCTTGGGAAGAATGGCCGACAGGCAATTTTCTGCCACAGAAATACACAGGGAAGCTGGAAGGAGGAGAGACAAAAGGAAGGGGTGTGGGCTCTTAACAAAACCACCTTGTGACAAATCTCTCCTCTGAGCCACTCGGAACACACAGGGAAATTGGCAGATGTGGAGCACTCAGAGACCAAGTACCCAGAGAGAAAAGCAGCAAAATGTGATTCAGCAAGAGGGGGCAGAAAAAGAAGTACCTGATCCTCCATCGTCTTGAACTCTCATCCTTTGTATGTGCAAGTTTGTGGGAACAAATTCTAACTTTTTATCTGCTTTCAAACTGCTTGCTTTAAACGAGGGCCCTAAGAAATGGAATAGGAGAAGATAAAGGCCATCAGCATGTGTGCTGCATTCAGGAGTTGCAAGTAGAAAATGGAATTCAGAGGATGCTGTGCATATAAGCAGGTATGTATCGGCAGTGGCCTAGAAGGTTCTAAATTGCCATGAGCACATTTCATTTCCATGTGGCAGATGGGTGAGATGTCAAGGGCTGCCCACTGGCCAGGAGGCTGGTTCTGGTGTTCAGGTGGTGAATGGTGCCAGGGAGAACCAACTTCAAAAGGCTATGGGAACAATGCTCTGCCTTCAGTGACTCAGCTCTCTACTGAGAGATCTGATACAAAAAATGTGATTCTGTGCAGCACAATGTCAGCATTACCATAATAAGCAAAGGGGTCCATGCCAGAGACTGCCTGCTCTGACTCCAGAGACTGCCACCATCAAAGAACTAAGAATTTGGTTTGGCTAGAGCAATACATCTCAACTCCTGAAAGTGATCAAGAGGGCTTCTCATCCCCACAGGCCCATCAAGATGAACAAATGCAATACAGCATTGATTCCAGCCTTCTGACACACAAACGTCAATATGTTTCCCTGTTAACACTTGGTTGGTTAAGGAGGCTGGACACCATTTTATAACAAATATCCACAATCTTGTTTCTATATTCAGAATCTATAACTAATTAAATAGAGAATCACATGCCTACAAAATAAAGGGATTACGAGTTAAACTGAAAACAAGAAGAGTGGAAGAAATAAAGATTTTATCTAGTGAAAACCATGAACTAATACAGCTAGCATATGAATCACAGACCAGCCACAGTGTGTCTCCCAGTTTGCCACAGGAAATGTTTTCTATGGCCTAACACCTAGGGTGCAGTCCACAGACTGCAGCATGAGCATCCAAGAGGCTGTGAGAAGCACACAATCCCAGACTGCCAATTTAACACAATTCTCAAGGGATCTGGGTGCACACTGACATCTGAGAAGCTCTGCTCTAGAAAATTCAAGGTTGTGTGGGTTTCATACTTTCCCAGGTAAGAGCCACCAGGCATGGGTGAGTCCCTCAGTTCCTTCCTGGGCAAATGCTGCCATTTCTCCTAGTCAGACCCTCTCTTCAGACTCACATCAAGCCTAGGCAACACTGCCTTGTCAGTCCTGCATTTGGCTTCTTCTCTTCCAAGTTCATAGACAGGTTCATATGTTCTGTGTCAAAACCACATTAAGGGCTTATGGTTGTCCTTAAACCCCTGAAATTCCATTATGTAGAGGAATCAAGGGGAAGAATCCAAAAATCAAGAATAATTCAAAATGCTAAAGCAATATATAGAGTAATGAAAAACCAAAAAATTCATTCCACTTGGAATAAAAAAGGAACAAGTTAAGAACAAATTTCTGAATCTGCCCTGAGAGCGTTTTGAAAATCAAATGGCATCTTTCAAGAAGAAATGGTGAGGTGCTCATTCATATTCCACTGTTTTTTAAGCCTTAAAATACAGAGCTCCCCCTTGACAATTTATATGTTTAATAAAAGTTATAATTTACTCTTTAAGCTGGGAAATCTAGAAAACTGCTTTGTTTCAACATGAGGGCCTACATCCTCTTGGTCACTGTACTGACATTAGTTCAAGGTGAAGAAATAACATGAACCAGCAATAGTCGGTGATTTCACCTCCCCTAGATTTCATTCTACAGTGGCTATTTTGGTAGATGACACCATAGGAGGACTCTTCACTGCAATTCACAGATTTGTCTTTTTAATTAAGATCAGAAAAACCCATATTTGAAAGAATTCATACCTACATGAGAAGTTATTTTTAAAAATCCATTAAAGTGTCTGTCACTGGGAATGTGTAAGTGACCCTGTGTTCCAGATCTCTGGCCGGGAAAGCAGCGTAAGTGAGTGTGTGTGGTGATGGGATGGGAATGCACCCACCTTTGTACTGATGGAGGTCAGTCAGGTTCTCCTGGTATGTGAGGATGATGGTCTGGTACTGGGTAACAATTTGGCGCCGGAGGCTCTCCCAGCAAGGGGACAGTTCCCCCAGCTCCTCCAGCTCACACACTCTGCAAGCAAGACAGAGATGCATCAGGCTGTGGGCTAACTGGTTTCCCTGAAGAGCCCCAAGAGGCCTACCCAGGACAACAGCATTTGCATGGGAAGTATCACAGATGCCCAGCGTGGGCCAGGACAATGGTTACACTGGCTGTCTAAAGAGAGACTGGGTGGCAGGGGAGGACAGACAGCTACATGAAAGGCAGACCACTGACCACATGGAAGTGTGTCTAGAGAAGCTTTTCACAGGAACTCAGTCGAATGTTCAAGGGAGACAATGTGGAGGTGGGCACAAGGTGACAGGCTGCTGGGGAGAAGATTTGCCCTGGTACTCTGGACACCTGCAGGTGACCTCAAGCACAGACTCAAACCACAGCCCACCTGAGTCTGGGCTAAACGATGATCCTCCCAGAACAGAGAAGACTGCAGGCTTGAGAGTAACCGTCCTGGGCCACTTCCCCTAGGAGGCTATCAGGACAGCATTTCTCAGGGCCTCCCAGGTTCTCCTGCGGTGTGGGCCCTCTGCTCTCCTCCTGAGAAGGGAGCCACAGAATCTAAAACCACTCAGCTGTAGCCTAGAGGTGGCACCTCAGCAGCGGAGTCCCACAAATTGTGCTGCAATCACAAGCCCTTCTGCCTCACTGCTATCCTTTTTGGGTATGGGACAAGGACTATGGGAGCTGGCAACTCTGGCTATTCTTCCTTCTGTGTCTATGTAAGAGAGGAGCTGTCTGAGCCTAAAAGTGGCCCGCTGTGTCATTGTTGATGAAATCAGGCCTGACTTTGTCTTTATGTGTGTGTGTGACAGAGGCACAAAGTAACAGAAGGGGGAAGAGTAAGAGGAAGGAGAAGAGAAGAAAAAGAGGAATTGTTATCTCCAAAAAAAATAAAAGCTGAGTAAGAACTGAAATATAAATTCCTTAGCTCAGCAATGAAGAATAGCTACACAATCATAACAGTGAAATCACAAGATGGATTTAAAACCAAAAAGGATAACCAAATTAGGAAAATGGGGACTGAGAAGGTATAAAAGGTCAAACCCTCAGCATAGAAAATTGGTAGCTAATCCCTGAAATTGATTAATGAAGAGAACCTTTTACACATATATTTAGAATTATATCAGTAAACAGTAAAACTCTCAAAAAGTGATTGTTTCTGGGAAGTGGATCAGAAAGTAAAGCCCCAAGAGTTATGTTTTTAGTTAAAAACCTTTCAGCACTATTTGTTTTTATACTGCGCTCATGTTTTCCTTTGAGAAAGAAGAAAAGCTAAATTTTAGAAAAGTTCTTAGGAAATCTAACTTGTCTAAATTGTTTTAAAAAGCTGTACCATTTTATTATTATGAAAACAGCAAAGGACACCCAGAGCAGGTAGTAGGGCTATGTGGTCAGCCGGCCCCACGGCCTCAGGCCACTCTGAGAACAGCAGCTCTGTGTGCCAGGCTGCTGCTAGTTACTCTCTCTAGAATGTGTCTGCCCTGTGTTCATGTGGCTGCTTTCTATGCTTCAGGTGTTAGCTTAATGTAATCATCTCACAGCGGCCAGCCCTGATCACGCTCTTTCTTCTCACAGCTCCCTTTTCACTTCCAGCACACGCTGAAGCATCTGGAGTTCCTGTGTGAGGTACCCAGTTCTGTTTCTGACCAACCCCACGTAAAGCTCACCAAGAAGCCTCCCACACTGAGAACAGTGCCTGACATGTGGTTGTTGCTTTAAAAAAAAAAAAAAAAAAAAAAAAAACCATGAACTAAAGCACTTGTTAAATCAATCAACTCTTGGCCAGGCACAATGGTTCATGCCTAGAAGTCCAGCTTTTTGGGAAGTCAAGGTGGGAGGATCGTTTGAGGCCAGGAGTTGGGGACCAGCCTAGGCAATATACCAAGACCTTGTGTCTACAACAAATGAAAAAATTAGCTGGGCATAGTGGCGTATGCTTGTAGTTCTATCTGCTCAGGAGGCTGAGGTAAGAAGATGGCTTGAGCCCAGGAGTCTCAGACTGCAGTGAGCTATGATGGTGCCACTGCACTCCAGCCTCGGCGACAGAGCAACACCATCTCAAACAAACAAACAAAGTGAATAAACCCTTTAAAATTATAACATACCATGTAATGGGAAATTGAAACATGAAAACTGAAGATACATGGAAAAGTAGACTGTCATTACGTAAATATAGACAAATATGGGCAAAGCTGAAAGAAAATTTTTTAAATTAACTATTAAAAATATGTGCATAGATAGAGAAAGCAATTGGCAAAATATTAACAATTGGTGATTTTATGTGAAAAGTAACCTAGGTGCTCACTGCATTATTCTTGACCTTTAAGTTTGATTTTTTTTTTTCCCAGATAAAATATTTAAACAAAATAACTCTTTGAAAACAGCAGGATTCTGGCTGCCTTGCTTTCTTTCACGCTTCTGTTATATTGTGTTTATAATTAACATCACTTTCGGACAAGGAGAAATGACAATCTGAGACTACCCCCAAAGTTCCTGTGTTGGAAATTTCATCCTGAATGCCACAGTTTTGAGAAGTGGGGCCTTTAAGAGATGATGAGGTCATGAGGGCAGAGCTCTCATGAAAGGATTGATGTCATTATCACAGGAATGGGTTGGTTATTGCAAGAATGGGTTTGTTATAAAAGTAAGTTTGGCCTTCTCTCAAGAGCTCTCTTGCTACGTGATGCCTTCCATCAAAGGACGATGTAGCATGAAGGCCCTCACAAGATGCCAGCACCATGTTTTTGGACTCCCAGTCTCCAGAACAAATATATTTTTAATCATTATAAGTTACTCAGTCTCTGGCATTCTGTTACAGCAGCACAAAACTAAAACAGAGACACACAGGAGACATAAGCTGCAAGGCCTGGACTACCTGTTGGGCCTCTCCTCACCTTAGGACTGACAAGACATGCCCTGGGTTGAGAGATACAGAGGGGTTAAGGCCCTTATGACCACAGAGCGCTGACAGGCCATACTCAGTCTTCTGGAGCCCTTATCTCTATGGCCCTAACCTAGAAAACTACTGATCTGGGCAGCTAGGATCAAAGAATTACCAGTTATTTCTAACTTTCTGAAGGACTAGTAAGAGGGAAAAGAAAATAAGAGAAGGAAGGTTGGGCGTGGTGGCTCACTGTAATCCTAGCACTCTGGAAGGCTGAGGCAGGTGGATCACCTGAGATCAGTAGTTCAAGACTAACCTGACCAACATGATGAAACCCCATCTGTACCAAAAATACAAAAATTAGCTGGGAATGGTGGTACACACCTGTAATCCCAGCTACTTCTGAGGCTGAGGCAGAATTACTTGAACTCGGGAGACGGAGGTTGTAGTGAGCCAAGATCATGCCACTACATGCCACTACTAGCCTGAGCAACAGAGCAAGACTCTCTCTCAAAAAACAAACAAACAAACAAACAAACGGAAAGAAGAGAAGGCAGGAAGTTTTGAGTGCAGGACACACATCTGGGATCAAGTACACTCTCTTATGAAATCCTTCCACAGCAATCGATGATACCAATGAGCAAACTGAGGCTTAGGCAAGCTAAGGCCACAGAGCTAAAGGGGAAGAGGCTGTGTTTGTAGCCCAGTCTATCTGATGCCAGTGCTCTGCCCACTATATCTCAGAAAGGAAGGGGCACATGACATGGGTATGATGAACAGTCAGTCCTTCCATGTGGCCTCACCTGGCTGCATCTTCCTCTAGTAGGAGCTTCACGAACTGCCGGGGCACGTGCAGGGAGAGCACGCTCTCTGCCATCTGCTCCAAGATCCGCAAGTGGTTACCATCGGTGGTTGGAAACCGGTACATGCGGCAAATGGCACCGCCAAACACTGAAGTGGAATGACAGGGGAGACGGGCTGCATGTGAACCAGCTGCAGACCTGCCTCATGCGTTCTCCTCCCCTGGCCCTCAGGGATGCTGACACCTCAAGTCCTCTCACTGTTCGTCTCATGGGAATTAAAACACTTATACTAAAGACCCACCAAGTGGCTAAGCCTAAACATTTCTTCCCAGCAACATACAATATTCCTCTCCCAGAACATGTAACTAACTCTAAAGTGCAAGCAGCTGGGGGCAGGGAGGCTGTCAGTCACCAACCCCATGTGAAACAGAAAAGAGTGAGATAAAGCAGGAGCCCCCACTTCCTTGGAGTGTTACTCTTTTTTATTTTTTAATCCTCTTTCAAGGAAAATTATCATTGTTTTTGTACTAACTCTTTATATGCTGCAAAAAGAACACAATGATAAGCAGCAGAGAGAGGTGACAATCAGGGTGCATGACTGGGACAATCACAGCAGGTGCAGAGCAAAGGGGACTGAGGGCCCAAGTGGACACACACAAGAGAGAGAAGAGTACAAAAGGAGGAAGCTGTTTACCCGATTTCAGCAAAGTGTCCTTTCGCAATGAAGCATATTTGGATCGAATTCCTAATGCCTCTGTTAAGCTCTCATCAACGGGAAGAACCATCTGATAATGTGTAAGGAAAAGCACAAGAAAACCATGAGACTCAGATGACTCCAGAGGATTTGGCAGAAAGAGTGGCCTAAATACATCATAACAGAACTCTTAAGATGAATATCCACCATTAATTCTATAATAAATATGCTGCCCAAGCCACAAAGTAATTCACCTCCCAGTGTGTTGAATAACTTCATGCACACACAATTCTCTAGACATGCATGGTTTCTCAGTCACTTCACCTTGTGTTTCGGTGTTCTGATGTACAAAATGAAAGGAAGAGAAGAGATAATGCCAAGGGATATTTCCAGAACTAACATTCTGGGGTTATTTTGGGTAAAATGAGACATCTCCATATTGTACAACAATGACTAGTTACCAGTGTTGGGGCTCTGAAATTAGAATTTTTCTTTGAGTGTCTGTGTGAGAGACTGCATGAGAGGGAGTGCAGGAGGGTGTAGCTAGAGATGGGGAGGAGGACTGGGGAAGAGAGGAGGATAAGAAAAGGTGGGGGTGTGTACCAGGCAAGTGCAGGGCATGCATGTGTCTGGGAGAGGGAGGTATTAACAAAACAGGACAGATGACCCGGGTCCTAAATGCCTCTTTGCTCACCCTCCACACCCCCCAAGTTGCCCCCTTACTGCGGTTCTTCCAGCAGAGCTCTTTCCTGCTCCCTCCTGCCCCCTAGAAGTGGGCAGTGTGGCACCCAGAACAGAGGCAGGCTCCAAGGCAGCAGGGCCTTACAGGCAGAAGCCCTTTTTCCTGCTTCAAGGTGTGCCTGGGGAGAACCGGAGTGTCCATGGGAGCAGCATCAAGCAGCAGGCCCTGCCCTTTGCTGAGCAGACAGGCTAAGTCCACGACGGCCACATTTTAACTGGTGAATTCTCTCACTCTTTCTAAGGGAGATGAGAAAAGTAGCGAAACTCACCCTCCCATTGACAGTGTCTACAGACCGGGTCACAGGGGGCCGTTGGTCTGACTTCTCCTCCATCTGCCAGCCAATCACAGTGATGTTACCCACACGGTCACTCTCTGCAGACCTATGATGCACAACGTGCTTTAATAAGTGGTGCTGTAACTGTGCTTCCTTTCTGCTGAAATGCAAAGCCCTAGCCATCCTGAGTCATCAGGGTCCTGGGGGCAGGATGGCCGAGCTGGCTGACCAGTTGCTGTGTGCCCAGAGCTCCACCCAGGCAAGACAGATGAGGAAACCATGGGACACAGTGGAGGGCTGTGTCTGAACGGACAATGCACCACAAAGTGTGGACGTGCTAGTGAAGTGGAAGGGGCCTCCCCAAGGAGGAACCAATGCTGTTCCCGAGCTGCTGCCAGTGCCTGGGCTCACCCCTGTCCAGAGGGTAAGAGGGACACATGAGGACTAGAGAACACCTTGTTCTGGCACTGGGCCCCTTCAGTTCCTTCCTACCCCACCCTCAGGCTTATATTAGCCCAAGGCCTAGGCCTGGACTCCAAGAAATAGAAACCAGCCAGGGCTTCCTGAAGCCCTTGAATCCTGATATGACACCTCAGCCTCAGTCAGCTTCACCCTGATGTCCCGAAGGGTGGCTGATGGCGGCCTGGGCTCATCTGATTCATTGAAGGAGCCTGAGAACTTCAGGCTTTCTATTTATGAGGTCTCACTTAACCAGGTTCTAAATTTTTGTGTGGTCCCATCTACTGCCCATTTCCTTTGTGACTTCCTAGCCCTGTCTTCGTGCCTATAAAGTCCTTCCCTGCGCTATCTGTTCAATCAGCAGTCACCTTTAGCTCCTTTAAAAAGAATGATGTCCATTTTGTACGTTTAACTCTAACCCAACTAAAGTTAACTGACACATGATATAACTAAATATTTTCCTCAAAGCCCTTTCCCTCACATGATCCCTCTCATTTTACCTAAGATTTTTCCTTTTCCCTACATCAAGTTCTCTATACAAACTATGGGCTGCTACAGGGCTCTTAACCCGTCCACTGATGAGACAGCCAATGCCTGCAACACTGTTTTTACTTACAGTAGCTTCAGAATGTCTCAATATTGCAGGAACTTAATTTTTGTCAAATTTTCCTTGCTATTTTGGATTATTTTCCCAGATTATAGTTTTCCGATTTTTATATTATTCTGAAAAATGAACACCATGTCTGAGTTTTGGTGGGAAGTTCCCCTAAGATTATTTGGAAGGACTGACATCCTGATATCTTTCATCTTTCCATCCAGGGATACAGTAGGGGTTTCCCTTTCATTCACTCATTCCTTCCACAAATATTTATTGAGCACCAGGCACTATTCTAGGTGTCTGGGAAATAGCAGTGAAGCAAATCAGACAAAATTCCCTGCTGTCTGGGAGATTATATTCCACTGAGGAGGGGCTAAATAATGGACAAACAAACTTAGTATTATGAAGGGTGATCTCTCAGTATAGGAAGTGGGTCCTTTCCCCATCTGTCCATAGACCTCATCATTCTAGATCCTTTTGAGAGAATAAAATTAAATACCAACCTTAGTGTTAAATGCAACCTATGATGCCTGTCCTGGAGCAGATCTTTGACAATGAACGTTCCAGAGCCCAGTAAATACATCTGAGGAAGAAAAGGTAAGAGACAGCATTGGTGCACCTGCTTTGCTTCTGATGCAATTACCATTGGCCCCGAGAGTCCAGCTTACTGCTTCCCACAGCACCTCTTACCCTCATGTCAGAAGCCCAATAGAAAAGCTTAGAATGAAATTTCCAAAAAACAAATGCATTTAGACATGAGTCAACTTGTGAGCCAGTAGTGAAGTCAATCTGTGTTCACCTCTCACACAAGTGATTACATAATTTTTTCAAAGGGAAGAAAATCCCACGAACTATAACACATTACTTAACTGTTCCCTGAGATCTATCTTTGACATCATACACGGAGAGTTTGACTTGTGTCATCTGATTGATAAGAGAGTCTTGAAAGAAGGCAATACTGCTTAGAAATATAGGATTGTTGGTTCCCTAGAACAGAAAAAGAAATAAACCGAACACAGGGTTGAATTTTTTTAAATATAATTGCTTTTGAAATACACCAACATTTTCTGAATGAGAAACTAACATTCTCACTGACTGAGTCAATACAAATGCTAAAGGCAGCTTAAATAAATACATAACCCGCCCCCCGCAAAAAAGCCCTGCTTTTTAAAAGAGAAACAAGAAGTCTGACACAGACCATTATGGATCCACATACAATAAATCAACCCACTGCACAAGCTGTGCCTGAGGGCTCATTTCACAGGTTTCACGCTCAATAGAAGGAATTTTAAAACAATGAAACAAGTTGGATGTCCACATGCATTCTTAGTTTTATAACTTAAAGTGTAATATGTATTTGGACCTACTACTTTGGGTTATTCCTTTAAGAGGTACAAACATGCAGATGAAAGAAAGAAAATGAATGGCTTAAATGGTTTATTATGTATTTCTAGAAGCCCATGTTTGGCATAATTAAAGTCTGACTTTTAAAAAAAGCTATCATTTTTTTAGGATCGGCTGCTAGTTTTTAGATTAGAGGTGACTATTTCCTGGCAGCTCAGCCGTGTCCTCCAGAGCCCCATAATACCATACTCTCTCTCTCAGGTACCAGATAACTATCACCACTACCATTGCTTGGGCCTCTGGCTCCATTCTCTCTCTGCATATCCAGATCCAGGCAGTCAAGCTGACTGGACAGTTCCACCTAGATGGACTGCTGGGGCCTCACCCAACTCACTTCTCCCTCGACCCACCCTTGGCTAAGGCCATCTCTGACTCCTTTTCCAAGCAGACTAAAAGCCCAGGTGTTCACTTTCCAAGCAGGCTAAAAGCCCATGCCTTCTTCTCTGTTGTTCTCAACCACCCCAGTGATCACGAACTCCTCTTGCAAGGTCCACCTCCAGAGTCTCTGTCATATGCTCCTTTCTTTCCATCCCCACCCCCTCCCACTCCCAGTCCCACAAATGACTGTCCTGTACAATTTAGAACATCTGGTCAGGTGACTCCCCTGCACAGAAGCCTACACTGGCTCACTACCATCTGCTAATAAACTCCATGGCCTGGCCTTCAAGTCTTTCTTTCCTTGCTCTGCTACTTGTACCTTTCACACACCGACCAGGATATGGTTAGACCCCAAATCTGTATGATGCCTTCCCTATGGTCACGCATTTGCGTAACAACAACAGAATTTTGGCATGCTCTTCATGTGTGGTCCCCAGACTGGCTACCTGGGCATCACTTGGAACCTTGCAAGAAATGCAGTCTTGAGCCCCACCCCAGACATACTGAAGCAGAATTCCATGAAGCCCCACCCTAGGAAGTCTGCTCTGAACTCCAGAGCCAGATAGGATCCCAGCCTCTTGGTGCTCTCCTCACCTTCCTACTACTCTAACACTTCCCATACTCTGCGTTGCATAGGGGCAGCCATATTCATTTCTGCCTTCCCATCCACCAGCTGGTCAATTCCTCAGGGCAGGGACTGTGCCCTGATGGGCTCTGTATTATCTGCAATGCCTGACACTATGCTAGATGTGTAGACAGCACTCAACAAACGCTTAGAAAGCAGAATTGTTGACATTAACTTGGAAATGAGTTTCTAAGAGACTGAAAGGGTAGGCTAGCTTCCAAGATGCACAACTGGTGAAAAAGAAGAAATGCAGTTTAAGTTTGATAATTCTTCACTTTACAAATAAAACTCTGCAGAATCTCACGCCTGTAACTCCTACACTTAGTGTTATAACTTATGTAATGTGCTTGATGATCTAAAAGGATTTTACAAAATTCCCTCCATAAATGTTTATTATGTAATTTAGTGGGAAAAGTAAACATATGACACAAAACTCAAAAGGCTGTAAAAACAAAAACCAACAAAAATAGGGGTATGTCTGGACAAGAAGGTGGTTAATAGTTAATACTCTTCTAAGCTTTGATTAATGAGCACAACTCTCCCAAAGCAGCAGCCAATTGGAGGTGAAAAGAAGGAATTAGGTCTTACCTCTTACAAACCAATGAGGCTTACAAAATCATTGTTCAAAAACAAGCTGTCAATAGTTAATCAATAACTATAAAAGATATGGCAAATATAAATGCTACCCAGATTAGTAAATGTGATGAAAAATATCAATGTACTGAAAACCCACAGGAAAATAGCAACAACTCACGTAAACATGGCTTCAACTACAGCTGCACACATAACTGAACATCACGAGAGACACCCTCGAGCATGTCCCACAGCCCCTCAAAGAGGGACCAGCAGCACCCACCTCAATGATTTCCGTCTGTGCATGCTTCGTCCAGAATGCCTGAGGAGGGGTGGTGACACTCACCGCAACAAAACTATTTGGCTTTCGATCTAGCGATGGAGTATGCAGCTCACTGCAAGCTACAGAATCAAGATGGGAAAGAAACAAATCCTTTAAAACTAGATTCTCATTAGTTCTCTGTTCCAAACACACTCAAAGAAAGCAAAAAAAGTAAATGACATTCAAAGAAATGATACGATCACATCATCAGTTGTCCCAGGGAGATTTTTTAAAATTTGAAACAATCCCTTTTCATGCCCACTCCGTGCCTCTCTCCAAGACAGCACTGCCATAACTGCAGTGAATGGCTGTGCTGACAGGGGCTTCCGATGTCCATGGATTGGAACACAAAGCCAGAAATCTCATATAGGTCCAATACTTCAAGTCTGACCTCAGTAACCATTCCAACTCTAACCAAGAGTGGCTTCATAGGAGCCAGTCTATGAAATCTAAGACAGAGCTACCCATGCTTGCATCCTGTGACTGCTGTGGCTGACTCTGAGCATGTGGTGCCCCAGGTGTCTTGGCAAGTGGATGGATAGATGTTGGAAGAAAATTAAAATTCTATGGCAAAATAAACAAAGCTTTTTTTTTTTTTAGAGTAAGCCATTGTTCATTTACAATCAATGACAGACCACATATACGACAGTAGTCTTACAGATTACAATGGAGGTGAAAAATTCCTACTGCCTAGTAATGTCATAGCCATCCTAATATCCCAACACAAACACATTACCTTTCTATGTTTAGATACACACTTACCATTGTGTTACAATTGCCTATAATATTTAGTACAGTAATATGCTGTCCAGGTTGGTAGTCTAGGAGCAACAGGCTATACTATGTAGTCTAGGTGCCTAGTAAGCTGTACCATCTGAGATCCTGTTAGTACACTCTGTCATGTTCACACAAGGACAAAATCGCCTAATGACATATTTGACAGAATGTATCCCCAACATTAGCTACACACAACTATACTTAATGCCACCAAATAGTATATTTAAAAATAGTTATAGTAATAAATTTTATGTACATTTTATCACAATTTTAAAATAAAATTTTAAAAATGTGTTAACTCCAATTTAAAAATATATTATGTGTCCACAACGGGTGAGACAAATGAACAGGAAATTCGGGGAGAGGAGTGATGAAATGAAGGAAGACACTAATAAAAATGAAAGAAAGAACAGGGAGAAAAAAGGAAAGATTAAAAGACAATTAGAAAAATACCAAGAGGGAAGGAAGAGACAGGAATTTGGAAGAGAAGGGGAGAGCAATACCTTGGCATGTTTTGAAGAGAGTTTAGTTGGGAAGATGTCTTTGTCGTATTCATTTCGTGCAAGTTACTGACTATTTCCATCCTTTGAAAGGACCTGTGGTGATCTAACTAACCACTATCCACAGCTTGATCTGTTCTTTTGGGTTCTAATTATACTTTTTCTGACTTTAATATTGCCACACCAGTTCTCTTTTGTTAGCATACACATTTGTGTGTGCATGTTTTTCTACAGTTGCTGTTCATGTAGCTATAACCCAGATGTTTACTCCAGATCTTAAGTCTTTAAAATTTCAATCCCTTCTCTATTGGTGAACATCCATCTGGAATCATCAGCCTCCTATCTAGGAACTTCTATTAGCACTGTTTATACTGTAAATCTGAGGTTGACATTCTTGCAGCTTTCAAGGTTTAAAAATGTCTTTATTCCACCTTAATTCTTGAAGGAAATTTTCTCTAAGTAGTCATTTTCTCTAAGCCCTCTAAATATATTGTCTCTAGGCCTCTGTATTTTCTGTTACGAAGTCAGCTGTCAGTCTAATTGTTTCTACTTGGAGCACTGTATTTTCTCGTAGCTTCTATAATTTTCCCACAGAGTGTGGCTTGCAGTTTTATTATGATGTGCCTAGTACATTTTGTTTTTATTTATTCTGTGAATTGTTGTATTAGTTTGGGAGAAATGCTCAACTATAAATATTGCTTCTGACCCTTCCCTGTGTTCCTTCTTAAAGATATAAAATAAATGTAATATTATACAAAAATCAATGTAATATTAGACCTCTCACTATGCTGTTTTTACTCTCTGATATTTTTTCCCATTATTTTCATTGCTCTAGTTTCATTTTAGAAATTTCCTTCTTGAAAATTTTCTTTTAATTCTAGAATATCTATTTGGTTCTTTTTATGGTTTCTAGTTCTCTGAAAATGTTCAATAATTTCTTTATTCTATTTTACCATAGTATTACAGACTGAATGCTTGTGTCCCCCGAAAGTTTCTTTAAGTAGGTCTCTCCTCTGACACAAACCCCAAAATTTATGTGTTGAAATCTTATATCCCAATGTGATGGTGTGAGAGGTGGGGACTTTCAGAGGTGATTAGGTCTTGAGGGTAGAGTCTTCATGAATGGGATTAGTGCCTTTAAAAGAAGAGATGCAAGAGCTTGCTCCCTCTGCTCTTCTCTCTGCCATGTAAGAATATAGCAAGACTACATCCATCTGCAAACCAGAAGCTGGCCATCATCAGACAACAGATATCCTGGCATCTTAATCTTGCACTTCTCAGGCTCCAGAACTGTGAACAATAAATTTCTATTTTTTAAGCCACCCAGTCTACAATATTCTGCTATAGCAGCCCATATTAACCAAGTCATATGGTCAGTAACAGTTATTTTAGTGTCTGTCTCTTAACTCTAATATATACAGGGTCTGTTTATATGTGTGTGTATATATATATATATCTAATATATACAGGGTCTGTTTCTATTGTTTATTGCTTTTAGTGTCTGTCTCTTAACTCTAATATATACAGGGTCTGTTTCTATTGTTTATTGTTTCTGTTCGTATTTCTTGTCTCCTCATGTTTCTGATAATTCATGATTTTATGCTGAACACTATATTTTAAGAAAAATTGCTTATACAAATTATTTGAGGCCTATGATGCTGCTGCCTTTCTCCAGACAACATTTGTAACTGCTTCTGCCTGATTCTAAGGAGCACTATCACTCTAAGATATTTTCAGAAACTTTATGGACCTGTAGTCCCTATCAACACCTGCTTCTGGTTCCCCTTACTCTAGAAGTTTAGCCTTTTGGATTCTAGATCTAAGTGAGAAGGGTTTCATCAAGTATCCCTTCCCTTAACAGACCCTAGAAAACAATCCCCTTCACTTCTGCACTGAGAGGCTGTTTAAAGCACTGTGCAGCCTCTGGACCTCTTGACCTTCCTCTTGGAACCACTCTAAGCCCTCAAGGGAATAAGTAGGCCTCTGCTCTCAGATTCTTTACTGTCCTATCAGTTCTCTGGTCGCATGGACCAGACATTTCAGATTTTTTTTTTTCATTTTTTTTCTAGTTGTTCTTAATAGTAGATTTGATTTTTGTTTGTTACTTATCTAGAAAAAGATTTTCTTTCTCTTAGGAATTTACTAGTCTGACAAGGAGATGCCTGGAAGCTGGAACACTCTTGAGTCTTAAGCCCATTCTTTCCTGTGGAAATAATTCTTCTGTTGCTTCTGGCCTGCTGCTACTCCTCTTTCCTGCTCTTTCTCTGCTTCTAGGTCTCCTATCAATCAAATACTAGAACTTCTGGATCTTGTCATAACTGTTCACTCAACAATCTCTATTTCTTGATATTTTTTCCTTGAACTGTGAGATGGTTCCTTCATTTATCTTTACAGATTTATAACAGTTTTCAGCAGTGTTGCTTTGATTTTTGTTATAGGGTTCTGTTAATATATGATTCACATACCATAAAGTTCACCCCCTTAAAGTATACAATTCTGTGGTTTTAAGGCATTCAGAGTTGTACAAGCATCACCACGAATTCCTTAACATTCTCATCACTCCAAAAGCAACAAATCAAACCCGTTGCCCCCATTCACTGGTCCCCCAAGAAACCATTAATCTTTCTATCTACATAGATTTGTATAGTTCAGATATTTCATATAAGTGGAATCATATAATAGGTGGTTTTTTGTATCTGGCTTCTTCAATTAGCATATTATAAAGGTTGATCCATATTGCAGCAAATATCTGTACTTCATTCTTTTTTATTGATGAATAACATTCAATTTTATAAGCATACCACATACTGCTTATTCATTTTTGAAGGACATTTTGATGAACAGAAAATTCTTAGCTTTTTCTTTCAGCAATTTGAACATGTCATTTCACCACCTCCATGGTTTCTGATGAAAAATAGCTGTTACTCTTATTGATGATCCCTTATACATGGTAAGTCACTTCTTTCTTTGCTTTAAATATTCTGTCTTTGGTTTTCAGTGGTTTGAGTATGACGTATCAAGTGTGGATCTCTTTGAGCTTATCCTACATGGAGTTCATTGGACTTCCTGGTTATGTAGACTCATGTTTTCCATCAACTATGGGAAATTTTTGGTCATAACTGACACCTTTTTATCTTTCCCCCTTCTCTATTTAGTCTTCTTTTGGAACTCCTATTATACATATATTGGTGCACCTGATTGTGTCCCACAGATCTCTGAGGCTCTGTTCATTTTTCTTCATTCTTTTTTCCTTTCTTTTCCTCAGACTGGACAATCTCAACTGACCTGTCTTCAAGTTTGCTGATTCTTTCTTCCGTCTTCTCAAATCTACAGTTGAGTCTCCCTTAATGAATTTTTCATTTCAGTTATTATAATTTTGAACTCCAGAATTTCTATGCAGATCTCTTTATAATAGACTCTTCAAGTCTCTAGTTGGTGAGACATTGTTCTCATACTTTCCTCAGTTCTTTGGACACAGTTTCCTTCAGTTACTTAAACATACTTAAAATAGGTGATTTAAAACTCTTTGTCTACTAAGTCAAACATTTGTGCTTCCTCAGGGATGGCTTCTACTGACTCCATGGGTGTTTCCCTCTGTGAATGAGCCATACTTTCTTTTTGGCAATGTCTCATACCTACTTGTTGAAAACTATAGACATTTTAAATAACATAATGTGGGATTTCTGTAATTAGATTCTCCTCCCGCTTCCCCAGGCTTTGTTGTTGCTGCTTTTTCGTGTGGCTATTTCTTCAGTGCCTTTCATGATCTAATTCTGTAAAGTAGTATTCTTTGTCATCTGTGG